CACCGGCTCGCCGTCCTCGTCCTCGAGGAGGTCGCTGCGGTAGGCGAGATCGTCGGCCGTCATCGAGACGACAGCCAGACCGGCTGAGAACCCCGTCGTCGCTGCGACCGTCAGATTTACCTCGCCCGGCCAGAACCGGATCCGGGCGAACGCCGGCAGGTCAGCGGTGGCATACGGCAGCACCGCGACCAGCGCCGCCCGGAGGTCCTGCAGCTCGACCTGGAACTTCACGGGCTTTCACCGACCCGTCGATCAGCCGAGCAACGAGTGCACTCTTCCCATCCGCCAGGGAACTCCGTTGTGGTCCACTCATGCTCACAGCGCGCTTGGCGACACTCGGGGCAGAAGTGCTGACCGTCGTCGGTGAACTCCCAGCTGAGCTCGCCAAGGTCGGTCAGACTCTTCTTCGCTTCGGGTACTCCCGGCCACACCCAACGAACCCCAGTATCGAGATCCTCGGCGTCAGCGCCGCAGCCATCGCATACGACGACGATGACGTTCTCGACCTTGACGCTCATCAGTTCACCTCGTCCGGCTCATGCCCGCCGGCATACGTGACCGGCATGCCCACCGCGATCGCCACGTCGCGCTCGACTCCGGCGCCGCGAGAGTGCCGCCAGCCCTCAAGCATGTGGATCGAGTCGCAGCCCAGCAGGGCGAGAATGTCGGTGTGCATGTAGCAGGCCGACGAGGTGTGCGACGCGTCCTCTGTGCCAGGTGAGTAGCCAGGCGGGCACGGGTGCCCGTCGTGAGTGAGCGGGGCGACCATGAATGGGTTCACGGGGGTCTTGCCCTGCTCGAGGAGGATCTGCGCGGCGAGCGCGAACCGGTCGGCCGCGTCCGGGTCACCCGAGATAGGGCCCGACACGTAAACGCGTTCCTTGCCGGGCGTGCGCCGGTCGATCGCGCCGACCCATGCCACGGCCACGGCCGCGACCTGCAGCAGTTCGGTGCGCAGCTTGTCCGGGTCGTGCTCGGCGAACGCTTCGGCCACTTCCTCGAGGAGGATGTCGGACCAGCAACCGCCGCCGGTCTTGAA